TTGCAGGTTTTAATGACACTAACAAACATGGGTCATTTTCATCATTTATTAATAATTTAATTATTTTTTTTAATTCCGATAATGATATCGTGAAATGCATTATTTTAAAATGAGAAAATTAAAACATGTAAAAACTGGAAACAATGGAACGATAAACAATATAAACAGTTTTTTAACTGCACGCAATAGAATACACCCGTCAAACTATATTAGTTTTTTTTAAAAATAATATTTATGCCTCAGTCACAAATGACAAACGGCCCCGGGCGGTGTCTACCTTTCAAAAAAAATCGTAATATCGGCCGGTGTCCATCTGACAATCGGAGGGCAGCAGCAGAAAATGTTGTTCATCGGGCCAGCGCCGTCACATTTAAAGTACTACTTTAACAGTGTCCAGGCGAAAATGTTCGGGGTCAGTGAGTTGAAAAAGTCATCTGGCGGGGATCGCCCGATCGCCGGGCGGCGCCCCGTCAACGTTTTGTTTTTTTGTTTTTTTTGTGTTTTTTTGTTTTGTTTTTATTTTTTTTTGAACGGACGATTGTTTTTTTATACAAAACACCGATTGTAAGGCAACCGAGCGGACATCGCCCGAGGCCCGCCCGGCGCCCGAATAGACACCAGTTAGATAACGGTATCCCCCAGTATCCGGGCGATTCATGCAAAGGCACCGGGCGGTCATCATTTTGTCGTACGTCGATCGCGCAGCATGAGTTTGTTGTAATTGCGGCTTGGGCTTTTTGTAATTGCTAAAAATGAAATTGTGAATTCCCTTGGAATAACGTGAACTTAATGGCCGAGCACCAACACTGTTAATCACTACAAAAAACGATAACGATACATGGTAATGTAATTAAACAATACCGGTAGTTGTAATATTCCGACACATGTAAAAGGATTAATCTTTGCGATTGTCGTTATGAACCGCAGAAATAATGTTCAGGCATAAAAAGTACTTATACGGTAGGAAAATATAGAAAAAAAGGAGGTATATCAGAATATAAAAATATCGACCTGCCCCTAGTATAAATCGGAGTGTCAAATGTTTTGATGGTTTTCTCTTTTGTATTATAGGTAAATGAAACAACACTTCCCTGTCTTCACAATATAAAACCCCAAAATAAATTAATAAAATCAATGTTCGAGTATCTGACTATGATCCTTTTCTCTGTCTTCATAATAAGTAAACGACAGATAAAATCCAGCCAATCAACGAGCATGATCTATTTCAATCTCCGACAGACAGTGTGGTAACTGGAATACTACTCCAGTTAACGCACTGTGCATTTATATGGGTAATCGATTTAACTCTGAAACATATGTTCAATAGTAAGGTTTCCGAACTATGATTCAAGTATGGTGGTCATGTATTTATTTGATTAATGGTAAATAGGTAATTTCACTCTTCGTGATCGTGAAAGTCAGTATTCTGTTTATTTATTGCAATGTTCTCTCTTGAAATTTTTGTATTTACTCATTCTTATTATATCGTGTAATGTTCACCCTTTAAATATGTTTCAATTGTTTTGTGTAATGTTCTGTCTTTTAGATTGAGTTTATATGCAATCAGTAAGTAAGTATTTCGTGTTATAGTTACACTTGGAAATTTTTTACGTTACAAAGGTTCTTAAATACAAATTAACACAGATTTTTTTAGCAATATTTATGATAATACAGATTTGTGTTATTCAATTTAGCCCATGACAAATTAACCTTTATATGAGAGTCTTCTTTTTTTATGGCATACAAAGTAAATGTAAATGTTAAAGAAATAAAAGTATGATATATATGCATATATTCCAGCACCAGGAAAAGTTTCAAATTTTGTTCTCACAACGAGTCCTGGTGGAAATTATACAAGGATGAAGATAAGCTGGCAAGCCCCAGACATATTGCTACAGAATAGTGTGATAAAATCATACAGCTTTTTGTATTTTGAAGACCAAAAACTTGTAAGTTTTCATGAACATTTTCCGTAGCTAACTGAAGAAAACACAAAAGGAACATTTTATGTTCGGCAAACGATTATACATCTTTTCTTCTTTGTTGAAATAATTTCTTTTACCTTAAAATATTTAATTGCGCAATGAACTGAAAATTTCAGTACAAATAATTAATATGTGATGAAAAATATAATTGTAATGTTCAGATTGTCAGAAGTGTTATGTCTTTAATCTTTAATATACATAACTTGTTGCTTGCCATTTCAAACCAACGTTAGCCTTGTTTATATCAATATCATATGTTTATTAGCATGATTACCTCATGAACGTTACAGTAAATTTGTTGTTCCTGACTCAGAATGTTGGTGCTGGTTTTAATTATCAGAGACCGGTTTAATATGTTTAGATAATTGTTTTGATTTCAATAAATCATGCCAACTGTCCAGCCAATGTTATTTTAGTGCGCTCTGGTCCCTGCCAAGACTAAGCGTTCCCTTATAATTAATGATCCCTATATTTAGAAAATCAAATTTTACTTTTATTTTCTTAGAGGGCGCTTCCTGCATTTTGGTTGGTCAAAACTGTCCCTAGAAATAATAATTACATGCAAATGCAAGATTTGCCGCCTTCCCAAGGTGCAATTGAAAAAAAGATTTCGGAGTGTGAAGTACGAATCTTGTGCATTTTTATTTATTAAGTTTCGGGCACAGATACCATTGTTCAGTAAGTTTATTTTTGTTTTTATTTGCCTTCGTTCGGGAAAATTATTGTTTAAATAATTTTTGTTTTAAAATAATTACATTTATTATTGTTAAGGTAAATACATTAACAATTTTATGTTAAGATAGATAAAACTGTATCCTAGTTAAAACTTTGATGTAAAAGTAGATAATCTGTAATTCTATCAATTAATAAATTTGTTAACATTACTAGCAGCTGGATTCCCACTGTATTTGCTAAGGATGAATTATATATGTGACTTGTTCATTTGTAAGTATGTATTAATTCTTTGTATGATGTTTTATTTGTTATTAATGAAAGTATAACTGTTTAACTTTCAGATTACCGCTATATACGCTAGCTATATACGTTGTGCGATACACTATATACTCCTCAAGCTATATGTTGTTTCTGGAATAAAAGTGGAAAATATATAGCGCGTGCATTGAATCGTTTTGTTGCCCAAACTTAGTGAAGCTGCCCATTACGACTGTGTCGTAGTGTCTTTGTAATTTGGTGAACAGTTGAAGTGATCACCCGTATTAACGTCTTCTTTTTTCGGCCACCCACGTAATCTAAACTGTGTTCTACAGTAAATGAAGAGCTGTAGTTGTTTTACAGTTAATGAACAGTATAGTTCTTACATTTGTCAATTCCAAATTTAGATACAGCTGCAAGTTATTTTAGATAAGGTATTTAACCTTTTATATCGAAACAGTCATAAAACTGTAGGAGTTTTGTAACGTTGACAATAAAATAGTTTTAAGCATATACTGATAAACTGACTAGTACTCCTTCCCTTATTTTCAGGAAAATAGAGTTGTAAAAATATTTGATCACCAACTTTCGCAACTGTATTATTATGAAACGTTCGTCAATGTTATTCCAAAAGAGTCATATACATTTGAGGTTTGTGACCGTCTCATGTTTGATGTATTGTTCACATGATTTCTTACTCGTCCAAAATACTTAAACTTTCAAGTACATAAATGTATGGCTTTTGTAACCGGTTTCCCCCATTTTCCATTGCTTTCATGTATATTTTTGGTTTTTCGAATTCACATTGTTTAGCCAATTTTATTAATGCGAGCTAAATCAATATGAAACCTTAATATTCCAACGTCTTTTTTCAGTGACAAAAGTTACAATTGTAGTTTGAAAAGGAAAAATTTCTTACCTGTGAAACGTTTATTGGAGTCTTTGTCGGTATTTTTAGAAATGTATTCAAATGACTTTCCTCACCCATTTTACCTGTGTAATTTATCATTTGTTCGTCATATGTAAGAAAGATGTAAATTTTTTGAAATATAAATGGTTATAGCTTGAATATCAGTGTAAAAATTACTTGATAGTTGACAGAAGGAATGTGATAACAATTTTGTACGTTTCCGGTTAAAGCAGTAAATGATCAAAACATGACTGGAGAAAAATACACAGAAACACAGATTGCCCCTGCAGGGTGTATGTCATTATGAAGTATACTTGTTCAAATTCAATCATATATTTTTAATCTTTTATTGGATGTAGGACACACTTCGGTCAATGTTGATCCTAATTAGGGAACAGCTGTTTGAAGGATTCTGTATCGTCATTGTAAGCCCATGATTTGCTAACATCGTGCGCTATTATACACTCTTATATTAGGAAATTTTGTTTTGCTTTGCTTTGTTATATTAGTAGCACAAAACAGCACAATGAATATTGTAATAAAAAATATATAAGCAAATAAAATATAGAATATGTTGAATTTTGAATTTGTTGATGAAACATAAAATTTCACGGTTTGTGTGTGAAAAATAACAAAAGAAATAAAGCTGACTGTATTGCACTCTTGAATATAATTGGAAAATATGTCGGCCTTTAAGTAAGCCGTTAGTAAAAGTACTACCTCTAAATATCAACATCTTAACAAAACTGAAAACAAGCGCATACCCCGATATTGTTATTTAACTTTAAGGGCAAAATGCTTACTCTTCGACATATTCCTTTGTACTTTTTAAAATAAGCTTTTATTTGAAATATCCCGAGAATATAAACATTTATTTTCAATTATTTTATTTTTAAATATGTCAGTTTTCTAAAAGTTTACACTTTAGAAAATGAAGTTGAAAATATGTAATGAATAATGATCGTTATTAATTGAAGGTGCAAGTAGTTAAAAGGCTTATATGATATGTCAGTATACATTCGCATACATAAATGACTTCTTTTCATTTTTAATGACCTCTATTTGTTCGGATAATAGTCTTAAAGAAGATTGATATTAAAATTTGCAAAGAATTTGTAAACTTTGATTATGTGTATGTTTAATACTAATCGATGACCTTTCCATTGTTTCAGTTCCGCTTAATGTTGAGGAGCAATTGCTTCTAAAAGTTATTACGGCTTGTAACAATGTTGAAAAAAGAGAAAAAAACAGAATTACTGTGACAATCGTTGAAGAATTTTTTGTAGAGTCAACATATGGAACAATACGTGCGAATGGCATCATTGCATGTGTAAAAGTCTGCGAATTATCCGGTAAACCACCTACATAAAAGTTTAATATATTTTTGTATCTTTTTTGCTCATTAATATTTTTTTTACTAAAAGTTTCAACATTTATTGTCATTAATCAAAAAAAGTCATAAGAGTAAAGAGTATCAAACTGCTACTTGTACATCTTTCTGAAAAATGATGCAGGGAAAAAAATAACTCAGTTTTATTTCTGAATTTATTTAATGCTGCCTATGCAGTTAAGATGTTAAAAGATATTAGTCATAAACTCAATGCGTTCTTGTTTCCTTCAAAGATATTAAGACACTAGCCGCTTTTAATAGCATGTCCAACTGGAAACAGGCGGTAAATGGCGGATTTACTCGGTATAGAATTACCAGCTCGTCTTGGCTTAATAGCCTAAAAAAAAACAAGTTGAAAGGTAATTTGTTATACCATTAATATTCTACAGCATAAAAACTTTGGTACTACTTTCTTAATAGACCTTTTTACGACGCTGTCCGTTGCTATGAAAAATCGATCGGAAGTGGTATTTTCTCGCGCATGCGCAATCTACGTAGGGCAAAAAGAGCATTGCCCTACATAGAAATATAATAGAAGTTCATAAACAATTCCGAGTTAGTTTAAGGTAAAAAGTATAAAACTATATGAAATTCCTTCTAACAAGAACATAAAAGATGCCTTTATAGCTTTGTGACCAAGTTTGCACGGAAAGACGATTGTTTAAAAATTCCCTCATAGGATCACGGACTTTAAATTGACATTTCTTTGAAAAAATGTGGTAATATATATGTTAGCAAATAAAAAGGTCAACTTAACTGTTATTGAATAGTTCATAAAAAGGTAAAAAAAAATCTAATGAGGTAAATAAACATTCCGAAAAAAGTCAGAAAACATGATATAATGCATTTTAAGTTTTCAGTTTACCTGATTTTATCCTTTATCCGATTGATGCCATACATTTCTTTCAAGTCACATAAATATATTTACATTTTTTTTTCAAAATATTGAGAAATTAAGTTGGGTAGTGAAATAACACACTTTTGATCATCCGGTTCCTCATAACACGTGTAAATGCACGTCACACTATTTGTCACTTCACAAAGTCAATAAACATTGATGAGATTAGTACACAGGCATGTAAAAGTTACTTAAATTACGATTTTCATAATTTTACGTGATTAACTATGTCATGGTACTAAAACGTCCCGGTTGAATGATATTGTAAACTAGCTGGATATAAACAACCGGTCCATTAATCTGTTTGACTCTTACCGCCTTGTTGATGGAAGTGTACAATACAATAAAATAATACAATAGTATAGTAAGTGTACAATATTAAAATTAAATCGTTTACACCCTGCTGTTTCAGTTTAAAGTTCTGATGGAAAAGTCGTCTAATAATATCTTAAAAATATAACTTAATTTATGTACATGCGCTTTTTTCATTGAATTATTAGTCCCTCATAGTTTCGTATATATTTGTTATTGATATAATTAACGTTTTAAGTACTTACTGCTTTAAGCCATCCCAAAATTACTGTTTTCTTGGTGCATAACTTGAAATCGCGTCTATTAAAGCTTTTTAATATGATAAATTGTATTCATCGTTATTGCGTTTTTACCCTACGTAGAATGCGTGTGCGCAAAATGCAACATTCGTTACCATGAACAAATCGTAATGTAAAAAGGTCTATATTTAAAAGATATACAAGAAATTTTGAACAACAATTCAGTGACCAAAAATTACGTGCCAATGTACAGACTTGTCTGTTGGCAAATACTAATAAAATCATATTTAGTTCCAGCAGTTAAAAGGTTAACAATGAAAGAGCAACTTAAAATTTAGAGCAACACTGCAATGATACGTTTCTCAGGTTTAAATATTATAAAGGAACAATATATGTATGATTACCATCCGTAGATAAAGATATTACGTTATCGCCGTATATGGATTATACAATTGGTGGAGATGTTTGTAACAATATATCCCCAGGAGATTACTGCAATGGACCATTGGTGCCTGGAACAGAATACATGTAAGTCATGATTGGTTTTACCAAGGAAAACATTAAAAATTTAGAAACGTACCTAATCATAACTCTTGAAATAATTAAACAGATCTTATTTTCTCTTTTTATATGTTTATGTTCAGTATTTATTAAATTAACCTCAAATATCGATACCAAATGCATTGTTTTTAAATTTAATATTACAGATTTGTTGCAGTTGCTTGTACAAGTGGAGGTTGTTTGTTGAGTAATGAGTATGGACCATTCTTTACTCTCGATGGTATTGTTTCTTTCTTACTTTAAACATGAAAATACTTACAAATATAAACTTAGTACAAATATGTAAAATTACCATTAATGATAATGCAACTATGTTCTAAGTTTTGCTGCATTAACTAGTACTATGATGACAAAACAATATAACATTGCTAGCAAATAAGTTACTGATATGATTATATATAAGACTGAAAAAAGTATAAATATGTTACATTCTGCTTTATATGAGAAATATATTTTATCATGAGCTACTTTCGTTAATTTCTAAGGTCTATTATGCCTCAAAAATGTTTTGTTTTTTTTCTTTCTTAAAAGCTTTTTTTTGTTCTTTATATATTAAGGTTTATAAAGATATCACTCATTGGCCGATTATATGGCCAACTTTTGGCTTTATAAAGCTTTTTAGTATTTAGTAGTATAGTTAAAGTAATTTTGTATGGATATCAAGACACTGTTTTGTTAACAATTTGATACTTACTCGTAACCCAATTTTTGAATGTTTGTCATTTCTCAAGGAAGTGTTTATTCCTTTCAGTAGCATAATAAGCCTTTAATGTAGGAGTAACATGTTCAGAAATTATTTTGCAGTTATTGAATATTGTTGTAGAAATTATTGACGACAAACGTAATTCCCAAACTGCCGCTGTGATCGTTGGTGTTGTTCTTGGTGCAATTATAGTAGTGCTTGCATTATACGCGATTTACACAACACTTGTCATCAGAAGTTATAAGAAGAGTGAAGGTAGTTTGATCCAACATAATAATGCTTCATATCTTTACATGCATATTTAATTCTCTAAAAGATGAACTTCAAGATGATTAAGTTTCTTATGAATTCATTCATGACGTGGATAAATCGAGGGAGTTAGTTTTTTACATTCATTCTCAGTTATTGTAAATAATGTTTGGGAATTATTATCCCAACTTAATTATCCCAACACATAATTGTAGTACATGAAAACTGTATTTCAATTACAAATTCTGACTATAATAGCTTTTGCATTTCAGGTGAAAATAAAATAAATAAAGGCCAAAAACGGTAAGGACTCGTATACATATAATCATTTACACTGTTATCATTAGCAATACTTATTTACATTCATATGATATTTTTTCTGTGCGAAAATGTGTTGGAAAAGTGTTCTTTAAAGCTATAATTCAAAATTCTCTTTCCTTTATTCTGATTATAAAAGTAGTTTTATCTATACGTTAACGCAACACGTGCTTCTGAATAAGTAACAACAAATGCCTCAAGATCAGATATTTCGTCGTCATTTTTTACATACATATGTATACACAATCGTCATATTTGCAGTTGATTTCTATTTTCAGAAAGGGTCCGATATACGCAAACGAATCTTTCATGACCGGAATTGCAGAAATTGGCGAGGGAAATAAAGAAGCAACTACTAACAACTCTGAAACAGAATACTCAAGATTAGATGAAAATACTCGGGATGACAAGACGTATGAACGCCTTCAAGTCTTGTAACAAAAATCAACACTTTGCGTCATCTTAGTTACAGGATCTTGTCCTTATGTAACACGTAACAGAACATATCTTCCTGATGTGTGAAAAATGTTTTAAATTTACTAATGATTTCATATATGTGTAAAATCTTGGTATATCTAAACTATCCTTATGTTCTCAAATGACAAGAAATTGTTTCAGATAATGCTTACAAATCTGATGAATGGCACATTCCTTCTAAAATTATTGATGGCATAAGCATTTAACACTCTTTGACCTGGTGATCTCAAAGTCAATAAAAGTCATCCACTAATCATTAACATATTCATTGCGTTATTGAGAGTTATTGACACGGACGCGGCTGACAGACGGGTGTCTGATTGACTTTCTTACGGGAGGATATTTCATGATCAGTAGCCATATCGGCTAATAACCACTTAAAACCATAAGGTATAAATGACATTGAAAATGTGTAGTTATCTAATGTTCATGCAGCATCATATTCTCTAGTAAGCAAAGAACTATTTATACGAGGTTTGACGGAAAGGGTCAAGAAGTTTTGATTGAATTTTATTTAGATAAAACCAGAGCAGTTCAAAAACTTCATAACAAAAAGTGAATGTCCTTCTTATCTTATCTTTCAACTCAAAATATAAAGTACAAATGCAATTTTGGTAGAATGTATTCTCATTTTATAAAAGAGATATACTTGAAACTGATAAACGCTTCTCTTTGTTATACACTGTATATGACAAAACAATTATCATGCTTCTTATCAAGGATGTTACAAAATCTCTACTATTCATCATCAATATGCTGTTTTAAGGTTTAACGCTAATTTACACATAATTTGTTTTATATTTTATCATCACTCATATTCAAATAGTTTTGCTGCTCCATAATTACCTCTATTCGATTGCACTTCATTACCCTTTTCTGTATAGTTATTAATTTTACATGATAAGAGACTTATTCCTACAAAATTGATGTGTTTCATATTAGACAAGTTATATTTCAATCTCCTCTTAATTTAACTAATTAAAATGTATTAAATATGTAACTAAAAACTTCCTGTTAAAGTCCTACTTTAACTTTTATTTCTTGAATGCGTAACATTTATTTAATTTAAATAAATACAATAAATAATCTGTTGCTATGGACTTTTCTTTAATTGCACTTTATGAAATAAGCTGTAGGTTATATGGAAACAAACCATCCTATAGTAGCCAATCTTTAAGTAAAGATCAAGGGTGTGCATCAACCTAAGATTCAGTAGAAATCCGTTACATTTTATTAACATTAATATTATGGTTGGGTTGGAAGTCGCACCAGCACAGTCATAAGAGCAAGTTTAGACTGTCAGGAGGATTTATACCAATTTTGCGATTATTAATTCAAAAACATTTCTTGACTGTAGCCATATGGAAATAGTCTTTATTCGGTTATAGAAATAAAAGTCCGTGAGCGTCAGATATTTGTTAGGAGTTTTTATTTAAAAATAAAAAGTTATCCACCTTTATCCGTCGCCGTGCGTCATCTATTGTTCGTCGTCAACAATTATTTCAATTTTAAAACAACATTTCCTCTGAAACCATTAATAGATATAAACTTAACATCACATTATTATTATCATCATCATCATCATCATTATTATAATTATTATTATGCAATTTAAATAAACTAAGTCATATCATAAAGAATTATAAACCCTTTCTATGTACGGTACAGTAATTTTAATCAATTATTATGATTATGTATAATTGTCAGACCTATTGCTATATCGCTATTTTGCTATTAGATACACTAATTATCAAACGCAAATGCCATTAAAAATGTATTACAAAATCAGGTCATAAATTATATTACATATTTTATAAATGATTTTGTAACAATTCAATAATCAAATACTGATATAAATATACATGTATATACAAACAATGTGAAGTAAGGAAGTGGTAAAACTTTTGTACAATTTAAAAATAAATAACTTAACAATAAATACTATCAAGTACAAGTTAAGTCGGTCAAAGGTCAAGGTCACAAGAGCCTTGGTCACTCAGAGTTTGTTTAACTTATATCTAAAGAAATTTTGGTTCAATACATTCATTGTTGGTAACCATTGGTATATAACCAGCCGTAAATAGCGTGAACTTTGTCCTGCCCAGCCGAATTTTACAAAAAAATCTTCATTCAGGTATTAAAGCAGACCTTCGGATTCAGAAAATTGTGACATATCTTATATGCACAGCAAACATTTAAATTCGCAAAAGTCTAAATGCAACGGTCATGCTATTAAAAATAAGTATTTTATTATTGTGTTAGTTTGTGATTTTAGAACCTGTACATAGCCTGTAAGTAGCTTTCCCTGTGCAGTTTAATCATTGCATTCCTTAAAAGTTGCTTTTTATGTATATATCTTTCATTCAAATAATATTTTTGTTATTTTAAAGAAGTTGTCAATGGTACAAATGTTGTCCAAATGAAGGACATTCGCTATTGGTTTTAGAAAAAAGTAGTCATACGGTTTAATGTCAGCTGTCCGGTTAGCTCAATAACTAGTGTTGGAGTGTAAATTTGGCGACCTGAGTTCGATTCTCTGGCGGTGCAGGTGTCATGTACAGAAGTTTCAGTTCCTTGCGAAAGTAAAGGTAACTAGTACTAGTAAACTACTTGACGGCTTGCCTAGGAACAGTGTGGTGGCTGAATTGTGCTCTGGTGAATTCAATGTGGCTTATTGCCGTGATCTGGAGTAAAAACTACCTATACCACCACCAACTAGAATCTAGTTACGAATATTTTAACTACCAAATGACTCCACATTTACTTATTCAGATGAACCTTATGATTTCGGTGCCAACGGCATCTGGAATATCGAATATGAGAGATATTGTACTATTTCTTTAGAGACCGTTTGCTGAGATGTGAATGACATTTAGAATTCTACACATTCTAAAATGTCCCTTATATGCATATATTTCAAAGGACACTCAATTACAGTGTATCTTTGAAGGTTAAATTATGATATATATTGATCATTAAACAATACTATAACTTCAACTTAATGGAAGCTCCTTCGTTGTAAGTAACTGCGTTCTAAAAGACATATTCATAATTTGTATATTTAAACTTACTTTTACCTTTTATAATCTGCAAGTGTACTGTTTTTGTAGTCTTCAAACTGTAACGATTATTTAGTCAAGGTTGGATCTCATTCCACTCAAAAGTACCTATCGGCAACCTTTGAAAAAAATATTAATTAGCATGTATGAACTCATGGACTCCTGAAATAAATATTAATAATGTAGCTATAGCATAGAACGATTAACCACAACTAAATGCTCATTGCTAAAAATCGTTTAACAAGGTATATATATACAAGTACTTCATATTTATTACAATCTCTTCATTTTTAATTATGAAAGAAACGCTTGCGATTTTATTCAGTCCAATTGTTCGTTTATTTACCAATATTTATTGAGTAAAAATTGTTAATTACCATACAATTTGTGGCCATAAAATCATTAACTTGTGAATTTTATTACCTCCCTTTAATAAATGTCATTAATTCACTGCCAGATTGTACGGATTATGCTCAATGTCCGTAATATTATAATTTTTCAGTATAAATAACCATATTGTGTTTGCCGGGAAAAACGTTATCATTTAACGTTCCCGCTTTTTTTCATGACGTTACGTCATTTGTTTATATGTTTATTGTTTATTAAAGTTTCGGCTGAAGATATGCGAAGAAAGCATTGAAAGCGCTACCGATTTTACATAGAGTTTGTTATTTCTTAAACATTATAATTTTATCTATATATATATATTTTCTTTGTTAGCCGTATAAGTAATAATGTATATAGGAATTTCAAAAAATGACTTCAAACCACTTGCCCCTCACCGCTGTGGGTTCGAATCCCGACAGGGACTTTGGATTCTTTCATGTGAGGAAGCTATCCAGCTAGCTTACGGAACGTCGGTGGTTCTACTCAGGTGCCCGTTCGTGCCTGAAATAATGCACGGAAGGGCACCTGAGGTCTTCCTCCACCAGAAAAGCTGGAACGTCGCGATATGACCTATACTATGTCGTAAAACCCAAAACAAAACAAACAAAAAAACAATCAAGGGGTCGTGAGTTCGATCACCCGCTACTCCACTTAAATAATGAAATGACTATGAGACTTACCAGACTATAGAACTCCAGATCATAAACGAATAGAACAAACAAACAGAGAATAAACGGTTTAAAACATTTAGATTCAGACTTAACTGACCAGAATTCAATTAAAATACCTTACGGAAAAGAGGAAAACAGACATAACGGAACAAACAGCAAAATACATACAAAGAGAGAAGTCACCCGGCAGATAACAACGGAGCATTTTTCAAGACACTGAATGGAACAGACAAAAGAGTATGGAACAAGACAAAAGGACATTAACGATACAGACAAGAGAACAATTAAACGGAACAGGAAACTAGGACTTATGGCAGCGCTAACTGAATGCGCAACAACAGTAAACAAATACAGAAAGCAAAGGACTTAACGACACATACAACAACAAAGACGTAAAAGAGCATACAACAGTCCTAACGAGAGTAGTCCACGGTTATGAAAAACAAAACACAACAAAGTACATGACAAGACACTAAGGAAAAAGGCAACTTCAAATTACTGTAAGCAGACAAGAAAAAACTAGAACAAAATGCAAAAAGTAACAGACAAAAAAGACTTAATAGGACAGATAACTTTCCTAACGGAAAGACAGGTATTGTTTACCTACACATCAATATTATGACTAAGACAGATAAAAGAAATGTAATGGACCAGACATCAAAAAAACCTTACGGGAAATACAAAAAGTAAAGTCACGGTGCAAATAACAAAGACTTAACGGTGCATTCCGGACACTGAGACAAGACACGGAACGAATCAACACAGATTTATTAGACAAGTAGATGTATCCGTAAACAAGACACGACAAAATAGATTTAATAGAACAGCAGGACATCAACGATACAAATAAGCCAGATTAACACATTAAACGGAAAAGCACATACAAATAAAACACAAGCAACCAATAAGAAATGACACAGCAAAATACAAAATTAATGTCTAATATTCAAATAAAGAGAAACTTATCTTAAATTAAAATTATTTTGAATATATGTACTTATTGTAGATGTGATTCTCTGATGTGTATGACACGAGGAAATATTACCTTATTGTGATTTCCGCTTTTAATATAATTCAATCTTAATTTAGAAAAATATACCAGTCATTACGTACGGCCTCTAATTATGACAAGCAACACA